AGACATAGTAGGGAATGTCTTAGGACTTTGAACTTGCTTAGACATAAGTCAAGTGAAAAGCGTAGTCGTTGGTTCCTAAAGTGAAATGCATATCGTCCTTAGCATATCCTTGATTCTTTGTTGGCTAACTTGAAGTAATTCGGGCTAGGTTTTATCATTATAAGTCCAAATCCCAAATCCAAAACCATTATTTGTGACCACTTCCCATTTTACAAGAATCACTCATTCCAACATTCACTATTCTTTAAAACTTTAGAGTTTGGAAATTGTTTAGAAGTCCTTGAGGATCGATACTTGGATACTCCATCCATTTTATATTACTCTGACAGGTGTGCGCTTGCATCTATATAATTGTTACCACGCTTAGCGCGTGCGTTCAGCATAAACGCCCAGTCAAGACCCACATATCCTATACCCTCATTTTCTTCCTCATCATCGAACCTCTCTTCTTCCCGACAGCCACACCCCTCCTACGGGCATATAGGTCATGATGTAGAGGGTTTAACACCATTGGGATCAGATGTTGTTCCATGTAATCTAGGAGATGATAGGGTGTGTGATTGGGATGTGCCGGGAGTATGGAATGATAACGAAGATGAAAGTGGTGAATCATATGACCCGTTGGCAGAGTCTGAAGAAGGACGCTCTCAAGCAGAATATGGGAACGAAGAGCATGACGATGCGTTTGATGATGAGCTTGAGCCTGATGTCGAACAAGTGCACACTGAGATTCGCAAGGATGAAGAAGCGGTCCGGCCACCGGGATGTAATGGTCTCACCGGAGACTCTAATGATGAAAAATTGCAACTCATAGTACAGGCTTCTGGGGCAAATGATGTTAATGAGGGCGATGTATTTGATAATAAGAAGGAGTTGAGTTTGAAAATGCATTTAGTTGCAATGCGGAAAAATTTTCAGTTTAAAGTAAAAAAGTCGACGCCAGAGCTATATATACTGCGGTGCGTTCATGCTGATTGCACGTGGAGGCTTCGAGCTACCAAGCTAAAGGAATGCACTTTGTTCAAGATAAAAAAATATTGTGCTGCCCATACGTGCTATGGTGGAGCTTTAAAACATGATCATAGGCAAGCCAAAAGTTGGGTGGTAGGACATCTTGTGCAAGAGAAGTTCACAGATGTCTCCCGCACGTATAGACCAAAGGACATTATACAAGACATGAGGAAGGAGTATGGTGTCAATTTAAGTTATGATAGAGCATGGCGTTCTAGTGAAGAAGCACTCCGGCTTATTAGAGGTGATCCAGCATCGTCATATGGTCTACTTCCAGCTTATGGTGAAGCTTTGAAAATCATGAACCCAGGTACTATTTTCGAATTAGAACTAGAAGGTGGCAAATATTTCAAATATGTATTCATGACATTGGGTCAATCGATTCGAGGTTTTCTGGGTTGTATTAGACCAGTGTTGGTTGTTGACGCGGCCCACCTAAAGGGGAAGTTCGGAGGGGTATTGTTATCAGCTTTTAGTGTCGATGCGAATAACCAGATTTACCCATTAGCATTTGCGATTGTCGACGGTGAGACGGTAGCATCATGAGTGTGGTTTATGACTCAAATAAAATGTGCGCTCGCTGGAGTTGATAATTTGGTTTTCGTTTCTGATAGACATCAAACCATTTGCAAGGCAATCGACAAGGTATTTCCTGCTGCATTTCATTGCTTTTGTATACAGCATATCAAGGTTAACTTGATAGTAAAATTTAAAAACGATGCGAAGGCAGTCGAGGAATTATTTTTAAAGGCTACAAAGGCGTATCGCGAGTCATATTTCAACTCGATCTGGGCCCAACTTCGTGCATACCCCGGTGTACGGGAATATCTAGACGATATTGGAAAGGAGCGTTGGGCTCGTTGTTTCCAAACTCAATTGAGGTACACACAAATGACTACAAATATCGCAGAGTCTGTAAATGCCTTCTTCAGGCACGCCCGTAAGTTGCCGGTTACCGCCTTACTTGACCACATTAGAGGTAAGTTACATAATTGGTTCTATGATCGACGGACGCTTGCAGCTTCCCGATCAACCACATTGTCCGACTACGCAGAAAACATGTATGCCGAATATTCAGATAGTGCGCGGAGACACGTTGTAGACAACATTGACCAGTTCCATTTCCAGGTACGGGATGGCAACTTTGACGGGATTGTTGATTTGAACGCTATGACGTGTAGTTGTCGGGAGTTTGATTACTTTAAGATTCCGTGCTCTCATGTTATTGCGGCGGCGATGATGCGAAATATAAATCCATACAGTCTGTGCGACGAGGCATATACGACGAACTCCTGGATATTGGCTTATGCAGAACCCATATTTCCAGTCGGACACGTCTCGACATGGAATAGTTCGCCAGAGTTTGTCAACATACCGGTGGAACCACCGAAGACTGTTCCAAGAGTTGGGAGGAGGAATACAACTAGGATTCCTTCCACGGGCGAGGTACGACAAACACGTAAGTGTGGTCGCTGTGGTGCGTGGGGACACAATCGCAAAACATGTAGCGAACCCCTTACCACATTGTGAATGTATGCTTCTGTTGTTCATTTACTTTTAAACATGTATGAAGTGGATTTTAAAGAAATTGGCAAGATAACTTGTATCTCAAGAAACCAACCATGCATGCATGCATTTGCAACTCTATGTGTTCTACTACTAGAATGAAATACGAATTAGAAAAGACAATATCGGAATTCCATAAATATTCAAAAAATGGGACGGCGCGCCCACATCTGTACAGCGTACTGACGCCTAAAAAATACAATATTATCTTGGGTCAAAGTGTCCAGCTTTGACCCGGTAACATCGTACTCGAAGAAGCGTACACAGAAAATCCCGCAATTTGTGGCGTTACTCTGTTGGGGTGTGCGAACCCGATGCACCCTCCATGGCACCACTGGTAGGTCCGGTCGTGATGCAAATATCCCGCCATGATGTAGTACTGCAGGTAGGATCATACAAATGGGCTTCAGCTCATTCTCGAGTGAATCTAGTGGAGTGGCCGATTGGAGTGAATCCCATACGGTTAAGTCACCTTCCACAAGATCAATTTTGAGCATCACCAGTGGTTCTCACCTATATTGATCGGGGTGTACACAATGTCTGCATCAGTCCAAGCCACATTCTAGTCCGACTGCCTACCGAACATAAATCGAAATATTGTATTCTCTTGGCTCCAGGGGTATTCGATTCTCATGGACAGGACCCCTGGTTTCATGGCCGCATATGGACCGTCTGTTCGATTCAGTAGAGTCTCTACAAGAAGTACAAAATGATATTACTTACACAGATAATTAAAATAATATTTTTTAGTTCAAACGAAGAGCGGTAAAAAAGTCTGTACCGAAAGTAGCACGTCGCCTATCGCAAACTTTTTGCGACACAGATGTAGACACTTCTCCAACTTTTTGGCCGTAAATAGGACGAGAGCATCAACTACCTATTGCATTTAAGAAATAAAAGTTGATATTGGAATATTATTGACAAATGTAGTACTAGATAGTGGAATAAGAGGTACTTACCTCGTCATTCAATTGGATAGTAGGGTCTAGTAGATCGCGATACCATTCCTTCCCTTGTAAGCCAGCTGCAGTAGATCGAGTTCGTCCATCGGTGTCTGGGTCATGTCTGGAACTGACCGTCCAGCTGCGGAGGAATGGGACATGCTGGGTCATATGCGTCCACAGTGATCCTACGCCGGCCGGTTGGTGTGTATATACCCTTCAGTTTCCACGAATAATGGCGCTTGCGTAGCCCCCGGCCAGTTGGGGTATGCTGAAGGTCAGTTTCATCCTGGTCAAGGTACGGTTCAACTTAAACCACAATAAACACGTAAGGTCGAGTAATGACAACTGACGAAATGCATGACATTAAGTTTACCTTAACGATCGCGTCGGGTGCCCAGTCCTTATATGGACGCCTAACTCGTCGTCTCGTGGGCTGTGTATCTGGCTGAGCATCCGGCTCTTGCCTGCCAACGGTGAGATCCTAATGCACAAGAAATATCAATCACATTACAATATGTGAATCAGTAATGTATACTAGCATTACAGAAGGTGGTTACCTGAATTACGACCACCTGAGGTCCATGGTAATCTGCATGATCTACTTCCGAGCCATCAGGCGGTCTCCCGATCGTAATGTCCTGATATTAAATAACATGATGTAAGACAAAGTCATAAATAATCCGATGAGGAAAATAAGTACGAGTTACCTGATTTGGATCCTCGTCCCCATCCGTTATCATACCATCATCCTCCTCCGTTATCATTGGATCATCGTCCCTTCTCTTCGGATCCTCGTCGATACTATTCGGACCATGTCCCGACGTCGGCTCCTTTTCAGTCTCCAGGTTTTCATCCGTCCTCTGGTCCTCATCAGGCCTCTGGTCCTCGTCCATACTCTTCCGACCTTCATCTGGCTTCAGGGACTCATCAGGCCTTTGATCCGATGGACCGTCATCATCGGGCCCACCCCCACCTCCGAAATACTTGCTCGGATCAGGGAATTTACCCTGCACCCAAAACACTGGCCCATGAGCATTATTGTAATAATTAAAAACAAATTTGTATACATATTAAATTAGTACCTTCGCCAGTTTCTTTAGGTATCTCTGAATACCTTTCAGGGCGACTCCAAAGTCACCCAGTGTGTCCTCGATAGCACCGACACGGTTATCCAGCCTCTTCAACCGTCTGCTGATCCTCTTCTTGAATTTATTCTTCTTCGACCTCTTCTCTAACCCTTCACCGTCGTTTGCACTGGGTCTAGCCTCGTCTACCACATGTGAATCTACTACTGGATCCTCTAGAGGACCCATTTCCACATCAGCGGGCGGATCAGGTACAGCTGCCCGTTCAGGTGAAGCAGGTGGATCAGGTACAACAGCCCGATCAGGTACAGTAGGCGGATCAGGTATAACACAGACTTCTGGTGGAAGAATGACACGAACCATGTGTTGTTCCTCAGCATCCGTCGCCAACAAGTGTTCCTTAACCTTGGACTACAACTCCAGTCATAGTTGCAGAACGCCTCCCACCGATCCACAACACCTAACAGGGCCGTATCTGTGAACTGCTTCCTCTCTTTCCCCATCATGGCAAGTTCTATGAAGTAAACTATGCCAACCTTCACAACATCCTCGTCGACGTAAAAAACGTCCTCCAAAAAAATCTTCTCCAGCTCACTACACTTAACCCTAACACTGTCTTTAAAGTCACGTGCTCTAAGTATTCATTCAGGAATATGATTATCTACCCTATTGATCCTATGACTGAGCCCGGTGATTAGATTGAACTGTCACTTACCAAAAGACACCCTCTTCCCAAACAAGTCAAAGCTAATGACGTCCTGTCTAGGCTCTTCAACCTCTCTCAACAACAGGTGATGGATCAATGGACCGTTGAAAAGAACGTCTATGTCCAAAATAGGACCGAAACGTGTTTGCCTAAACATGTATAACTGGGTTGGGGTTAACCTGGCCTTAATCCTAGTAGTGGTTTTATCAACATGGGCAAGGTTCGTCAACGTGGCCGGAAACCAGTCATTACGATCTAAGATGAGTCTCAAATCCATTCTACGTTCATAACGAAGTTGAAATAAAACATATTAGATACAGACTAAGCTAAGTGACAAGGAACTTAAAAAAAAACTAAACAAAACAGCATTCTGCCTTTCATCCCGGACCGAACCGGACCGGGACAAGTCCGAGATGAAAGTCAGTCCCGGACCTCGAAGACTTCAATCTTGGATGCAATCAGTATTCAATCCCGGACCACTGAGGTCCGGGATTGAACACGAGATAGAATCTGAGATTGAAGCCTTCGAGGGATTTTTTTTCTCTTACAACGACAACGTCAAACTAAACCTAAATCTATATGGTCGCTTCAGATAGCGCCGGTCATGCTAATACAACAAAGAACAACAACTTTCTTACATTGTAAAAGATAGAAACTAACCTTGCAGCCTCCGAGATGAATCCGACGCTTACAGATTAGTGCGAAAGAATGATCTTCAGAAAAAATGGATGAGTGCGAAATGGATTCTCCGAGACGAGGATTCTCCGAGATGGGGGTTTAGGGTTTTACTTGGGATGGGAGTGCCACGAAACGTCCGAGACGAAGGATGGGGAAGGAGGGGGTGAATTTTTTTAAAACAGGGGTACAATGGTAATTTCATTAGGTCATATTTTGAGAGAGGTCATGAAATGTTAATAAATTAATTAATATAAATTTAAATTAAACTAAAATTTAGTTTGCAACTACTTCTAGTTTACAAATATATTACTAAACATACATTGAACAATTTTTTAAATTGAAATTCAATTACCAAATCTACTACCAAACACATATCTGAAAACATTGAAAACAAAGAATACAACTCTGGTTTTCATTGAATCTCTTCTTTTCAAATTTTTGTTTTCTGATTACCAACCAAATGCACCATAATATACTCATTTGATTGCTAGACACTCGTTAGTGCTTCTCTTGTGGCTATATGATTTTCCTAATTGGCTTGTTACCAATGTGGAGTCTGATGTATATCTTTTAATACCCTTGAGACTTGTTAAGTTTATTGAAGTTCTTTTTTCCAAAAAAAAAAAAACTTAATTGTTTAATGTTCCTATTGGACGTGTATGTTTATCATATTGTATATTAGATTAAAAGATATTTTTTATATAATGGTATCAGAAAAGAGAATTAACCGGACAGAAAAATTAATGGGTTCGAAAAATGTAATTAAACTGTCACAAAAATTAATGGATCGTCAGAAAGAATAATAGTCGCTTGAAAAAATAGACCCACCCCAAAAAATGGAAATAAGCTGCCGAAAAAGGGATGAGCCCGAATATTTTTTTAAAATCGTTTGGAGAAAATTTCCAGCAGAAAGGCTTGATATGAACTACTGTTGGGAATATTTTTGTAATGCACAAACAGTGAACGATGGAAGTTTTTTAAAATTTTCCTGAATTATTTGGAGAATAATTGCATTGGTTGGTTTCTATATTTGTTGAATTATTGATTAAAATGTAACCATTTAATCATAAATGTAAATATTTGTATTAAATTATTCTCAATAAATTTTGAAATATAATACAATGACATTTATTAAGGATAATTTGTTACGAAAAAACATAAAAAAAGAGGGCTGAAAGGATGTTTCAATTTTCACTCTAGATTACAAATGAGATTGACTAGCTCTTAAATGGCTACCATAGAACAACTAGCAAATAGAAAAGGTCTACATAACAAACATGCTAAAGAAAAGATATATCAACATCTCCTCCCTTAAACTAAATGTATTAAGCATGAGTTTATATCAGCTTTAGAACAAACTCCCAAATATGCACGTAGCTTCACGAAAGTATCTAACTTGAGTTGTGTTTATGCAAGGGTTTGCACAACAGTTCTTCATGAATCAAGCTCGAACCCGGTCTCCGGTTCCGTCTTGAGCACTAGGGTGGACCTGCACAAGAGGGTAAGCACTCCGACGCTCAAGTCAGTATAGATCGGACTCCGTATTTAGTT